ACTGGGATACTACCGCCAATTTCTACGCGCTTTGAAAACTGTGAGGCAGCGTTTCTTGTCCGCGCCAGTTCTCAAATTTGTAATCCTAGCTGTAGACCAAGTAGTATACGAGGAGCTCTCGTAGCTTGCAGCCTTGGTGGGGCTTCTCACCTGTATTGCTATATGTCCAGTTGACTACTCCATGATGGATTCGCTCATCTGAACGATTCTCCGCAACAAGCCGCATACTAGACCCTACTTTCGTTGCCTGGATCATCACCATCGTCAATGTCAATACCATCATCAACGTGGTCGCGGCCCTCTCACACCGTGTTCCGCTCTTCTGCGTATCAAGGAGCTCTGCACGACATGCAGCTAGCATACCATTGCTACCCAGATAGAGGTGAAGCTGGAGTAGATATGAATCGAAACGGTAAACAGATACAGCTGAATGTGTTACTGTTACCCGACTCATTCTTTCCTGTCAGCCTAGAGGGAGAAAGAGTTTGTACCCACGCAAATTGTGCTCTAAAAACATTCACTGTATGTTGCAACAACACATGCACAGGTTAACATGTAACGAGTACTGTTAGCACAAGGCTGATGAGGTGTTGTTCCAAACATGGTCTAGAGATTTTGCGCACCGCTCGCGACGCTGTTGCATCAAACTTGCGACAGACCCGAAAGCGCATCCTATCTTCCCATCTCACTCTCACCACTCGCCACTTACCCATGGCCCCTCCCCTGATTTCCAATCCCAAGCCCAATCCAACCCATCCGTCATTCTATCCTCCCCCTCTTACACCCACCCCTCTGCCACCATCCACGGCTGTCCAGTAACCTCACACTTCTCTCTAGCCTCACACATAGGCCCAACCCCATTCCTACTACTATACGCACAGCAAATCCAATCTCCACCACAATAGTTTGGGATCCAAAACCCTGTTGCATTGCAGTACCGGAAGCGGTCGCCGAAGTGGTGGCATTGGGCTACGCCGGGAAGACACTGGGGGTCGATTTGCCAAAGCGGTGTTGTGGAGGCTGGGAGAACGGAAGTCGTGGTCGTTGAGGAAGTGTAGTTTAATAGGGTCCATGATGATGATGATGATTCAATGGTGGTGGCGGTGATTGTTGTTGTGGGGATGACGCAGGCGGATTTTGTGATTGAGACTGCGGAGGCGGTGGCGGAGGGTGGAGTTAGGGAGAGAATGAGAATGATGGGTATAGAGAGTTGTAGAAAAGGGATTGAGAGATGCATGGTGTCGGCTCTTGAGTTTCGAGAGGGCGGAGATGCTGAGTTGATTGTAGTATCAAGTAAACGGATGGAAGCGTTGGATGTGTTCGGGGCAGTACTCTACCTACTCACATATTTGACTCGGTGGTATGTGATTGCTGTTGTGTTCGAGTGGTACGTACTCATGTCAGTGCTCTAGTTGTGATGAAATCGTATCACACTCTTGAGCAAGGTTTTGACGTATATGTACGGTGGAGCCGCATACTTGTAATACCTTGTCCCACGTATCGAAGGAACACAGGCCATTCAAGTACCGTGATGCTCATCTGTTGGTGACTGGAAGCTCTAGTCTGTTGAAAAAGTGGTGAAGTACTTCGGTGTAATCGCAACGGGTCATTTGTGCTCCCTGTGAACGGATGGGATGCGATTAAACGTCATTCTTTGCCTCTTGATCAGCCTATGGTTTACTCGACATCCAACTGTTTTACGCAACATGCCTTGGTGGAACCCTTCATGATTGTAGAGTCGTAGCAGTCAGATGGAAGCTCGTTGAGCCTGTCAGAATTTGGCTTCACAATACGCCGACTTCTCGATGCTCCGCGCACCGTGTAAGCAATACTCCCACGAGTCTGTCGAGCAGGTATTCGGTCAAATCTAGGTGCTTAGAGTAATAGATTGTGCCGCGAACAGACTCGTGCTCCAACTTGAGACGGTCCGGGACTCGGCACGTTGGCGGCCCGAAATGTGCAAGTCATCGATGCGTCGAGTAGAGTCACGATGGCATACTACGGGATAGACATGTTCTGCGCTCTCTCTGGGCTTCACGACTGCCAGGTTCGATGCTCGAGATGTGGTGCCACAGTGAGAACCGCAAGGGGTATGCAAGAGCTGCTAGAGTCTGTTCAAGCCTAGGTGTGTTATCATTGCCGTCTAGCTTTGGTCGGCCGAATAAGATGCACTGCCGCCCTGAGCTTACCGTGCCTGCTTTATGTCTTGAGCGGAGTAGCAGGGAGCATCTTGCTCTGGAGCGGACCGCAGCCGTTTCAAGATGTTGGGGCTGATGCGGCGTCGTTAACAGCAACATCGTTTGATTGTGTGGAGTGCACATCAGGTCAGTAATGCTGCCTGCACTACGCATCCTCAATCAACTGATATCAGCTGTCGATGCAAGCGTCGCATGTAGAGCACGGTCGTGAGGCCTTTGGTATCGACAAGGCAGACCAGGCGCACAATGTGGATAGGCCCAGACCGTTGCCAAGAGTTCCAGTGATGGGCGTGATGAATTGACATGGAACACGGGTGTCCATGTCGTCATGATCGCGAAGTGGATCTCCGAAATATTGAGAGGCTTCGTAGATTCAAGAGCATTTGTATTGTGAAGCCTCATGCGTCGTTGCGCTGCATCTAGAACCAGGCAGTGGAAATAGACTTGCAGCAGAGGCGTGTAGCGGATCAAATCTCAGGCTGGGCAATGGTCTAGACATCTAGACGGCTCCGCGGGTAGAGCTTCTGGCGCGGCATGTCAGATGTGTACCGTGGTTCATGTGCTCTCAAAGTCGCCAACTCTGACAAACCAACAGACGATAGTGTCGCCCATTCAGTGTCAACGCGCGTTGCCAGAGGTGTGATTGGCGAGCGCATTACTTTGAATTAGCGAGTGGGTCGTGGGTGTATGCAAGATCTTGAGGAGTGACTGTAAAAATTCGACGATGTTCGCCTCACGATCTGAATGCTACAGCCGCCCAGCCGTCACCTTGGAGAGTATCTCTCCACTCTCAAAGCAGTTGCGGTGAAAACCAAGACGCCGACGTCTGATAAAAAAGGTTCTAGTAACGTGATAGAGCGGGTACTGGCAGCTTTCATGTTTGTGGCTGCTCCTTCTGCAGTGGTCCGGTGCAGCTAGCGCCGGAAAATTGGGCAGCCGCACGCCAGGAGTTGAACATGTCCACAACTGCCCCCAAATGTCAGCTTGGTAGCGATAAGTATTCATAGGCTTGCAAAGGTGGTGTCGGTGAAGACAAAAGGGAAACAAAAGGAAGAAGAGCATCAAGCTGACATGGCCTGCGCCCCTGCAGCGAGACAGCTAGAGAGGTCGATCAACACACAGTGCACATCATTACTCGCCTGGGAGCACGCCGTTCACGATGCCTTTGTCGATCATGTTCTGATTAGTTGGTCGATGCTTGGTGCGACGGGTTCCCAAACAGGAGCACACCCACGGGTCCGGAAAAGTCACGACGTACCTGTTGCAAGAAGACACCATGTAACGTTACTCTAACCTCAGGCCTCACGAGGGCCTTTGAAGGCTGGCGGAGGGCAAGCCAGCAGACTACAGCTGTGAATTGAATACGGGACAGCGGAAGGACTGCGGCTGATTCGTCAGATCAGGCTGGTTTGTTGCTAGCGCAGGGAATAAGGGTAGCAAAAGACCGAGCATGCAGCCTGAGGCCTGGACTTGTGAAGATGACACGTTAATGTTTGCTCGAGGGCCGAATGTGCGGGCGACATGCAGAGGGACGGCGTCGCAGAAGTGAAAAGCTGCATCATCGGTGTCCAAAAAAGGGCAATGTCAGGGCAGGCGACTGGGCGATGGGGTGTCGAAGCTTGCAACGTGAGAGCAGTAATGGAAGACAAGACGCAAGCACGAGCAGACAACAGAACAAATAGCGCTAAGTTCTGTTTCGGCCGATCGTCGATCTGGTGCCATGTAAGACTAGGCGCTAGGCCCCAGTGTATCGTTATCCATCTACCAGCACTGTACGACGGCAGTGCGGCTTCATGGGGAACATGAGAATAGCAAACGGGCGCGATAAGATGCATGGGCGGAGCTGGAGCCGCTGACGTCAAGCAGGAGTCAGCCCCACGAGCTGCATCTCCGCCTGTACTCCGGAGTATCAATGGCCAGATGTTGTGGGTTGTAGATGCTAGACAGTTGTTGAGCAGTCCGAGGTAGCTTTTGGCCGCCACAATAAAGCATATTGGCATGCAGGCTGGCGTTGGTTGGAGCTTCTGGATGGGCGAAAAAGCAAGACAAGGGCGAAAAGTGTAATTCGCATGTTCGCATTGCACGGATTGAGGGCTTGTGTGGGGCGGACAGTAATCGTCATGGCGGAGGGCCAGGCGTGAGAGTCGGCGGTGACAGTGGGCGAGGTTTGCATAGGGGCCGAAGCGGAAGGGGCTACCGGGGTAGCGCTGTAAATCGTGCAGGAGCGACCGGCAGCCGAGCGCGTCTAGACTGTTCCAGCAGGCGCGACCCACTGAGCGTACTCGACGCTCAAACTCTGCCCCATCCAGCGCGAATGCTGCGGCATGAGAGAATGGTGATGGGGCGGACACGCAGCACAACGAGCCTCGATTCAAAACGAAGCCGCGGGTTGGGGCCCGCTGTCTCTTTGAATGCGTGCCAGGCAAACAGCGGCGCTGGCTGCTGTCATGACCACTACCAGACGAGGGCGGGCCTCGAGGGTGCAAGGACGCGCAAAGCCACGGCTCCGGGACAGGTTCTAGATCGTCCACCAGCCCTCTTATGTGCGACTCTAGCAGAAGACCAACCATATCGCTGACTGCCCGCCGTGCCTGCCATTCCTCGCATTCCTTCTCACTGTCCCGCACAACCACGCATTCTTCGCCCTTCCAAACTCCGTTACTAATCCACTTCCGCATGCGTTGCCGACTGCCTTCGTAGCCCTTTGCATATCGTTGTTCAGCTTCTCACCTCGTCTGACCAACACCCCTGTGCCCATCCTGGACGTCCGTACCGACTGCAGCCCGCATGGAATTCTGAAAGATGGAGGGACATAGTACCATCCCACCCGATATAATCGAGCGCCAGTCGCTGTGCTTCTCCCGCCCCTTGCCAGGCATGGTCGTGCAACAGGGCGAGACCGGCTTCAGAGAAGAGCTATCACAATTATACGTGCCAGCAGAGAGCAACGCCGCCGAGCAATTCGTCAAGCTAAAGGACGCTCTCCGAAAAGCCGATACCGACAGCTTTTGGATCCAGCTCACCCAAGGCCTCGCTAAGATTGCCGATGCCCAGTATGCCTTCGTCTCCAAGAGGATTTTGGTCGATGACAAGAATGTTGCTGTCGAACTTCCACCCATTGGCGAGCCTGGAGCATGCCTCATGGGCGAGGCCTTCTACATCAACGATGACCATGGTAACGGACCCGGCCATCTGAGAAACTTCAAGTACCATGCCTACCAATGTCCGTGTGCCTACATGAAGCATGACAAAGTTTTCATCATACCCGAAAGATTAAACGATTTCATCCTCGACAACCCAAACGACCTCATCATCCCTGGCGAGGCCTATCTTGGTATTCCTCTGTTTGCTGAAGGAAAGTGCTTTGCACATTTTGGTGTTATGTGGGGTAAAGAGGGGGCTGCTCGCCGTGTGTTGAGTTGGGGGTTTCTCGAAATGCTGTTTCATGGCCTGGAAGACATGATCCTAGAACGCGTGTTGGAAGGCAACGATTTCGCAAAGTCAGCAGAACCAATTCAAGCTGCTGGAGTACCCAGGATCGTACCGCACAGAGCTGTCTCAGTTGCCCAGTCATTAAAGCCCTACGCCAGGAGCCTATCCCACGAATTGAGGACGCCAATGCAGGGCGTTGTTGGTATGCTGGATGTCATGATGGCAAATGTGAAGGAAGCATCAGAATCATTGCAGCTTGAATCCCGGACCCGTGAGATACTCGATACACTGAGGGAGAATATTGAAGCTGTCCAAGGTGTGTAACAATCCTTCCAACACTCTGTGTGACGATACTCTCATACTGACTTCGTCTCAGACAGCTCAAGACGCGCAGTCGAGGCAGCTGACAATGTCGTCCATGCCTACGACATGAACATGGGTGTTCCAGAGACTCCACTTTCGCCACTCGACAAGACCCCCGACCAGTGGAACACCTTCTGGCGTGAGATGCGACCGGACTTGATGATCACCGGCAACGACATGCGTGCTCCACTACGTGGTATCAAGAGAAGACGACGTGAGGTCTCTTGGGCAGATCATGCTAACAAGACACGCGTGGCTAAGAATGCTCGCCAACGTGTTCGAGACACCTTCTCAGAAGAGCCTCCCATGCGCGGCACCAAGTCTTGTCCCCCAGATGCAAGCGCTCTGGAACTAGATCGACTAGACCACACTTGCTCACACGGAACCTCGTTAGGCAATTGCGACTCAACTACCTCGCCTATATTCGCATCAGAGCATTCCAAGGTCCCTGGACTCCGACATACCAATCTAAGAGAGGTTTTACAATATGTCATCAACGATGCGCTTAAAGTAGGAGGAAGGCCGGATTCTGCCATCGCTGAGGCTACGGATACAGGAGAGCGGATTGAAGTCCGAACACGTAGCTCCAATGGAGAGGCACACACTAAATGGATTGAGTGGACGGTTTCTGCCGATGTTCCAGAGACGATTGTTATCGATGAACGGGATCTCGCTAAGATGGTCTCTTGCCTTGCTCTCAACGCTATCAAGTTCACGCAGGACGGATCCATCACACTTCAAGCGACACTTAGCGCTAAAGGCCGCTACATTGTCATCAACATCAAGGACACTGGCTCCGGTATCCCGGCAGCGTTCCTACCTAATCTATTCAAACCATTCTCAAGAGAAGACGATTCGATGACACGGCAGAGTGAGGGGCTGGGCCTTGGTCTAATGGTTGCCAAGGGCATTGCGAGGAAGCTGGGTGGCGATCTCTTTTGCCTCCGTTCGCATGTCTCTGGACCAGGGAGAGGGTCGGAATTCGAGATGCGAGTCCCACTTACTCCAGGCGAGATCTGCAGTCGTCCTGCAACACCGTTTGGATCCCCTACACTCTCCATCAAATCTCGCATGTCTATCGATCATGAGGTGCCCCGCCTGGATCTCAGCCGTGGCCCTGTCACTCCTCCCCTGAGTTCCGAATCATTCAAAAGTGATCGCGAACGCCAACCACCAATCACACCTGTCATCACTGTCCACTCTGCGACATCGCCAGACAATATTGGCCTAGCTACTCCTCGCCGCACCTCATCGCCTCCAAGACAACATGCTACTCGCGCTCTATCCTTGGAGCGGGATGTTGCGCCATCCAATCTCGGTGTGCAACTGCCTCTCAACATCCTAGTTGTAGACGACAACGCTATTAATAGACGTGTGCTGGTGAGCATGCTGGACAGACTGGGCTACAAGAACATCACCACAGCATTCAACGGTAACGACGCCGTCGAGACTGTTCGTCGCAATGCTCTTGCCCCAGCCTCCGAGGCCTTTGATGTCGTCCTTATGGACCTTTGGATGCCGCTGCTGGACGGCTTCCAAGCTACCGAGGTGATTCTGAAGATGCCAGAGCTCGAGCGAAAGCCGACCATTCTGGCCGTCAGCGCAGACATCACCGACGCCGCTCTAGACAAAGCAGTCAAGAGTGGGATGAAGGGCTTCGTCACTAAGCCCTTCATCACCCGAGACATCGCCCGATTGATTCGGACATACTGCGCAAGCCAATAAGCTTGCGAAATTTACTTCTCCCATGGCATTTTGGCTGCCTGGTTTTATTCACGTTATACACATTATAGTTGTACACCATAGAGGTGATCATGTCAGAAAGCAGGCATGATTAGATCGGACTGGGTACATGACGATCATGATAGCATTTGACCTGGTCTTTTGGATAGCCTTTATTTTACGGCGTCAGCGAGCGGGATACCTATGGTGGGCTATAATACCCTTTGATGAACTTTGCATGTTGGGATAACCTTGGATATGGGCTGCAGTAGCATATGCGGGCTACTCGAATACAACAAAACGTTAAACATTCTATTCGATCTTTGTTCCACCCGCAAGTGACACCCGAGTGATTGCAACGTAAGCTTTTTATGAGATGACGACGCATTGCTTGGTGAGGCTCTGCTCAGACCCGGATTGCCGGACTGGACCCGCAGGCACGGCAGTCTTGCCCAAGTGAGCTGCAGTGATGATGTCGAGGTGGGGACCTTGAATCGCGGGGCAATGGTCGAAAAGGCCGAACACAGCAAGCTGTTCTCGGAATCTGGCCGCACCCCCATGCATTTCAGAGTCGCTGCGAACGGCGTAAACCCGATTCTCACCAGCCACTATTCACTAGCATCGAAATGATACACATCAAGGGCAAGTTTGAGATATAGACGAATTGAAACGAGTTGCGCAAAACGTGGTTATCGGCGAAAAGTGGCTGGTGAGGCTGAAAGAGGGATAGTGCTGTGGCGCATGCGGGTCGATTAGAGGACAGATTTCTTGGGGTGCGCCGAAGTCGAGACAAGTGCTGTTGCGCCGCCAGTGCAGCCGTTTCTGCCGCGGACAGTCGCAGAATCTTCTATCGTCTTCTCCTGCGACTTACTTGTGCCAGGAAAATACAGTCCTCTCCTTTCTAACTCAAAGGAATAACGTGGACATTGTCAAAGTTCATTTCAACGTCATAGGCGAAGATACCTGCGACTTGGGAGGCCAGACATTTCTAGAGCCGAGATATCCCTGCGAACAACACCAACGCGCAACGATTGAGCCATCACACAACGAACCGTTGAACGAGTGGTATACTGAGCGAAGGATACCCGGTGGAAAGAGTAGTGGGCATGGAGAATGCGTACACCAAGACGCCTGCTGAGGCGCTGAGGTACTTCCAGGTCGAGAAACAGAAAGGTCTTAGCGCACAGCAGGTGCAGAGCGCGCGGGAGAAGCATGGAAAGAATGGTATGTTATCATCCCCGTGGACTGGGGCGACGACAAGGTGGACATCGGACGATGTGCATAGGGGAAACGGACAATTGCTAACATAAGAAACAGCGCTACCAGAAGACCCCCCAACTCCCATCTGGGAGCTCATCCTCGAGCAATTCAAAGATCAGCTGGTCATCATACTGCTAGGCTCGGCAGCAGTGTCGTTCGTACTTGCGCTCTTCGAAGAGGAAGAAGGCTGGACCGCATTCGTCGACCCTGCAGTTGTACGTACCAGATCAGGGGCATACATGTGTCTTGGCTAACATTCATGTCTACAGATCCTCACCATTCTCATCCTAAACGCTGTCGTCGGAGTATCGCAAGAAACTAGCGCCGAGAAAGCCATCGCGGCCCTCCAAGAATACTCAGCCAACGAAGCGAAAGTCGTACGCGACGGACATGTCAAACGCGTCAAGGCTGATGAGCTGGTTCCTGGAGATGTCATTTCGGTTACAATTGGTGACAGAATACCCGCTGACTGCAGGATTCTGTCCATCTCGAGCAATAGCTTCAACATCGACCAGTCTATCTTGACTGGAGAGAGCGAGAGTGTATCCAAGGATACCAGGGCCGTCAAGGATGAGAATGCTGTTAAGCAGGACCAGGTTAATATGCTCTTCTCGGGTACTACGGTTGTCACAGGTCATGCGACTGCGCTGGTTGTCCTGACGGGTGGTAACACCGCGATTGGAGACATCCATGAGAGCATCACGGCACAAATTTCCCAGCCCACCCCTCTCAAGGAGAAGCTCAATGACTTTGGCGACCAGCTCGCAAAGGTCATCACGGCTATCTGCATCCTCGTCTGGCTCATCAACATTGGCAACTTCAGCGACCCCTCGCACGGCAGCTTTACCAAGGGCGCTATCTACTACCTCAAGATCGCTGTTTCCCTCGGTGTTGCTGCTATCCCCGAAGGTCTGGCCGTCGTCATCACAACATGTTTGGCTTTGGGAACGCGCAAGATGGCTGCAAGGAACGCCGTCGTGCGAAGCCTGCCTTCTGTCGAGACACTTGGTAGCTGCAGCGTTATTTGCTCCGACAAGACAGGTACTCTTACCACCAACCAAATGAGCGTAAACAAGATGGTTTTCCTCAACGAACAAGGCAGCGGTCTCGAAGAGTTTGACATCGAGGGTACTAGCTTTGCGCCCGAGGGTCAAATCTCACTCCGTGGCAAACCCCTTGAGAATCTTGCAGCACAATCCGACACTGTACGCCAGATTTGTGAGGTCACAGCGCTTTGCAACGATGCCGCCCTTGCCTACGACTCCAAAAACGGCACTTACAACCTGGTTGGTGAGCCTACAGAGGGTGCTCTTCGTGTCCTAGTTGAGAAGGTTGGCACTCCCGACATTGCTCACAATGCAACCCGCGCTAGTACCTCGCCCGAAGGACGCCTCGATTTCTCCACCAAGCACTATGAAAGCCAGTACTCTCGTCTTGCCACCTATGAATTCTCTCGCGACCGCAAGAGCATGTCTGTCCTAGTCAAGAACGGTAACTCGCAGAAACTACTCGTCAAGGGCGCCCCCGAGTCAATTCTTGATCGCTGCACAAATGTCGTCGTTGGCAAGAACGGAAAGAAGATGCCCATGAACAAGCAACTGTCCACCCTTATCAACAAGGAGATTGTCGAGTACGGCAACCGCGGTCTCCGTGTCATTGCCGTAGCATCTGTTGAAGACATTGAATCGAACCCACTTCTGACAAAGGCTAAGACTACCAAGGAGTACACCCAGCTGGAGCAGAAAATGACTCTTATCGGTCTCGTCGGCATGTTGGACCCTCCCCGCCCTGAAGTTCGCGCCTCGATCGCCAAGTGCCGCTCTGCTGGTATCCGTGTTGTAGTCATCACTGGAGACAACCAGAACACTGCCGAGTCCATCTGCCGTCAAATTGGTGTCTTCGGCCCCAACGAAGATCTCACTGGCAAGTCTTTCACAGGTCGCCAGTTCGATGATCTTTCCGAGTCCGAAAAGATGGAAGCCGCCAAGCATGCCAGCCTCTTCTCCCGTACTGAGCCAACACACAAGTCCAAACTCGTCGACCTTCTCCAACAAGCCGGTGAGGTCGTCGCTATGACTGGCGACGGTGTCAACGATGCGCCTGCTCTCAAGAAGGCCGATATTGGCGTTGCCATGGGTTCCGGAACCGACGTAGCCAAGCTCGCCGCTGATATGGTCCTTGTAGACGACAACTTTGCCACTATCGAAGGCGCCGTCGAAGAAGGCCGTTCCATCTACAACAACACTCAACAGTTTATTCGCTACCTCATCTCCTCCAACATCGGAGAAGTCGTATCTATCTTCCTGACTGCTGCTATGGGTATGCCTGAGGCTCTGATTCCTGTCCAGCTCCTCTGGGTCAATCTCGTTACCGATGGTCTCCCCGCCACCGCTCTCTCTTTCAACCCTCCAGACCACGATGTAATGAGGCGCCAACCCCGCAAGCGCGACGAGCCTCTCATCAGCGGCTGGTTGTTCTTCCGCTACATGGTTATTGGTACCTACGTCGGCGCCGCAACCGTCGGTGGCTATGCGTGGTGGTTCATGTTCAACAGCGATGGCCCTCAGATCTCTTTCTACCAACTTCGCCACTTCCACCGCTGCTCGACACAGTTCCCTGAGATCGGTTGCGAAATGTTCAGCAACTCATCTGCCCAAGCTGCGTCTACTGTTAGTTTGAGCATCTTGGTCGTGATCGAGATGCTTAATGCTATGAACGCTTTGAGCAGCTCAGAGAGTTTGCTCACGTTACCGCTTTGGGAGAACATGATGCTCGTCTATGCTATCTGTTTGAGTATGGCGTTGCACTTTGCTCTTCTCTATGTTCCGTTCTTGCAAGGTCTGTTCAGCGTTATTCCGCTAGATGGTAACGAGTGGAAGGCGGTCATGGCGATCAGTGCGCCTATCATGTAAGTCAACCCCATGCCGTGTGGCACAAGTACAGAAGGATGAATCATTAACGTATTCCCAGCATCATCGACGAAGGTCTCAAATTCCTCGAACGCAGATTTTTCATCCAAAAGGGCAACGAGAAGTTGGAGCTTGCTGAACAGCAGAACGGCCGAGCGAAGAAGGACTAGTTGTCTTCTTCCCCTTCTTCTCCCTCTCGCTCGCTGAGACGCGTCGGCGGGCGCTCGCATCTCCGATCCGATCCGGTCAAGAAACACGTATCATAGTTACTCTGCATGTAGAAGCAAGAGATGGGGCTGTAGGTGGTCCATGAGACAGCGAGGGGAGGGATGTTTTGATACCTTTTGCATGAGATTAGGAGTTTTTGTTTGTTCGAAGACAAGTGGTAGATGTAGATGTGAATAGTATAAATAGAGCAACAATCACGCCACAGCCAAAGGAGTACATGTATGTTTTGTATGTGTTAGAAGTATTGTATATGAAAGAGTTGGGGTAGAAAGGCAATCGTCGATCGGTCTCGAGACGATCACTAACGATCATCTGGTGTCCGTATCGCAATGTTGGCGAGTTCTTCAGTGCCCAGTATCCTTATCGTAGACTGAAGTAGGGTACCGGTTTGTAATTGCATCGAAGCGGCGCTCTGTATGCAGTTGAAGGCGACGATGGCGATAAGCCCAGAGAAGGTCCTGCAAAGCTCTTGCGAAACTCGAAGAGTGTTCGACAAGCAAGCCAAAGTCAAGCTCAAGCTTCCACCAAACGCAAATATCGCATCAGCTCTTCCCCCTCACACCGCTAACCCATGCTCTAGAAAACCGCTGTCATATCCTACACCCA